GTTGAAAGCCCACAGTAAGATGAGTCCTATGGGTATATTTCCCAGATGCCCAGTTCAATTTATATTGGAACATTTCCAAGCAACACGTCAGTACTGCCAGCATTGAAGTCAATATACGCGAATAATTATTAGGCAAAAAAATGAGCTAACTTACTGAAGACAAGGATCCGGTGATAAATTAAGAGGGTGCTTACAACGCTAACTTCCAGTTCACGTGTTGCGTATAGTTGGAGCCGATAAAAAGCATAATGATACTATCTGGTGCCGGCCAGGAACGAGACCATAAGATTTTGTCCTGGGGACTGGTAGGGATTTAAGACTATAATGATGATGATACCCTGCGATTTGGTCATAGTCCTTATGGGCTGATTGACAGGAATTGTGCCCCGATCGGCGTTGTCACCACAGCATAACCTAGGCAGTAGTATTTGGCTATCGGCAGATCCAGGGTAACGCTGAAGCGTAGATATTTACCGTCATTTAACGCACGACAAATAACTGGCAATAAGACAAGATGCAGAGGTGGATGGGTGTTCCTCGACGGTGACCGTCGTGCAATAGTTGCAGTTAGTTTTCAGACCACCACAGGTACATTCAACAGTAGTAGGACGGGTGGCAGTCCTATTGATAGCCGTACCACCCAAAAAGAAAACTTGAAACGTCCGAACAGACCACCAGTTAAGGCCAGCATAGGTGCTGCAAAAACCTGGGTTTTGGCAAGACTGGCAGATGACGGCCAGAAAGCCAAAAATAGCCATTTCGATCTCCCTAGCCTTTGTTTTTACTCCTTTCAGAGTATATTTCAGGTCGCTATGCGACTGACTGAGAGGGCTCTACATTGGGCTTCAAGGCACGACGAAGGAGCGTGTCGCGTAACCCGATCGGTGAACCCACTTCCAATATACATTTCTAATATAAAGAAAAACGTCGCAGTCGCAAACACGTCCTGAGAAGAATGGTGTGCAGAGATCAGGTTGGTAGTTAGTAATTCCAGGGACAGTTAGCGACTAACCCATGCCCCACTTAAGCACAACACTTGGACGCAAGACACTTGAGCCTGAACGACGAAACCATAAGGGCAGCAGTCATCGCAGACACTCACTCGCAAGCATGACTTAACACCGTTAGTGCACGCTCTGGCTTGGCCAATAGCGACTGCCATTAGACAGCAAATCAGGATTCTGTTCAAAATAAGGCCCATCATTCTGTTGTCTTTTATCTGTACTGCTAGAAGGGACTTGGTCTCATAAGTGTGACGCCAAGGTACAACCACTACTAGAACCGCTACGAAGTATTCTGTCATGTTCGCGTTTGCGTCGTCGTAATTTGCCTTTTGTTATTACGTCATAGCAACAAAAATGTCGCGGTCCCTAAACGTAATATAGCATCCTCTAAGCCGCTTCTAGATGCTTATGCAGAAGACCCATAAGCAAAATGGCGACATACGTTCCCTTGGTATTTGTCATCTTAGTTGTCTCACAAGAAATGAGGTTTTTAGAGGAGGGGTTGGAAATAAGGTCTGAAGGGAATGCAAAGTTTTCCGGGTTGTTAGATAGGAGACTCAGATAAGATATCGCACAGTCACTGCTGCCAGGCTTAGGGTCGTAAAATGGCTCATTCGACACGGTATAGTTCAGCATTGCTTCAGAAACTAATAGCATATCAGTTTTATTTTTCGGTGC